CGGAATAAGTGTAAGTAGATGGCTCAAACGGGCAGGCTCAAAACATTCGGAGATCCTGGAATTCCGTTGGCCCAGCTTCTTTTTAAACTGCTCACACCAAAGTTAAGAGCTCCGAACAGAGTGTGTTTCAAAATTCTACGAGGTGATCGTTGGAAACTCTAACAAACATGGTTTTTACTGCAGCCAATTGTAGGAACAACTGTCAAGGTAAGAGTAGAGGCTTTGATAGTTTGGGTCCCTTGTAAGCACTGTTTTTGCCTGCAGAGAGGTACTGCAGTGCTAAGTGGTGTGCAGACAACCGCGCAGTCAGAAAATCCAATCCCCATTGATGTAGGATATAGGAAAAGTCCTTGGTGTAATCAATAACGTCCCTGGATTGCGCCCCGCCACCAACTTCAATTCAGAATCGTCTGCAGGGCGCCCTCTAAAGGGAATGATCACGTTTGTTTGAGCGCGTAAGATATTTGACCATGAAGACCCGGACCATGCGTTTGCGTGTGAGATACTCGGCACTACACCACCTCTTAGAGGGCTGAATGGTACGTCAGCTGGCCACCACAGTCCTTGTATAGGTCCTATACGCATTCAATCGTCATCACGACTCTTAATGGATGTCAAAGGCGTACGCGCAATCCAAACACAACAGGAATGATTGACTCCAAAAATTTCATGCTTTTGCCATGGAATCTGAATATGAGTTTGCACTTTCATGAAGGGCAGTCCCATGAAATGATTTACTATGTCCACCTCCAGGCTCACTAGCATAATTCTCCGTGAAAAATTACGTAGATTGAAGATGCACCTCCCAACCTCGACCTAGTCATGATGAATTACGTTTTCTGAACTGGTTTCGTGAAAACAGACGATTTGAAAACATCGGAAAGTCTTAAGAAGTGGTAGAAAAAGATGAATGCGTCTGACTTCGTGCATACTTCTTCTACACCGTCAATCGGACGGGAAAGACGGGGCACTGACGCATTCATTCAGCTATTGAGGGTGGTAATGAAGGTTGCTATTGAAACCCTCATGAGTAAGAAAACCTGTCCAAGGTGATCGTTTTGGAATGGTGTCTCATACAGCATCATAACTAGAGAAGAGAAAAACTACAAAACAAATAAATGAACATTTGATGAATACGTTGTAATTACACGTTGGTTGTTGTGGTTGCCGGGACGTAAATAATTTCTAATTTCGCTTTCATCTTGGAGATTTTTGCAGAATTTCAACCCATTGACAATTTATGGGTTCAGTTGTTCTTCGCTGATTCTTCCTATATCGAATAATCAGTCATTTCCCGAGTTTCCCTTGGTTTGGAAGAAAGAGTTATGACGTTACATGGCCGATTTGCAGAAAGAAAAGAAGAGTAGTTGATGATGCAATACTGATGGAACACGTCTTCGTTTCCAAGGAAAAGGTTATTGTCAAATTTCCTGATCTGAGACCATAAAGAGGGAGCTCGTGGACCGAGCTGACTGGTTTTTGGTTGATTTTGATTTTTTAACTATGTGCATCTGTATGGAGTCCTTACACGTCACCTTAGGCCTTTAGGTAGCTCTAGGCGCTCTTATAATCCCATTTTAAGTCAGGCCAGTCTGTGGTTGACGAATTTGCCGAGTACAGAGATGAAATTAACCTTCGATTTTGCAAAGCCGTCAATCTTGGAGTTGCACCAACTCAAGGTGGAGTAAATGCCGTTCATCAAAAGGTTTATAAAGGATTGAAGTTCGCAGAACAGCGGAGGCCAGATCCTGAAGATCTAGTAGAAGGATAGCGATAGACTTAAAGTTAGAGCTTGAAGTCACTCTGGTCAACTTCACCATCAGGAAAATTTCTTACTGTGGAGAAGCTTTGGTCAGCCCCATTCTCTTCATACTATTATAGGTGCATTCCCAAATAAATGTTCAGGCGCGTGCGAATTCTCTGTCGCTCTTCTTACTTGTTGATTACTTCTTGTTTGAACTTCATTCGAAGGCTGTAGAACCTCACAGTTAAATCATCCACAAGGTCATACCACTTCTGTTTCCAGATATGTTCATACTCAGAAGCCACAGGCCACAGCTCGTTCGAGATTTTTTTGCTTTTTTTTCTTGAATGATTCTAAGCGTTCTATGCGGGAAAAATCTTTGTGAAGGCCTTAACCCCATTTGTTTCAGACTGTACTTGACTCATTCGCCTTAGTTTATATGGATACCGCAACGAAATCGCCGCAAGATCGATTTCGAGATTGACAGAATGTCGGAGTTTGTTTAATTATATAAAGTATTTTAGCAGCAGATTCCGCTTTGTAAAGCAGGAGTTATTTAATTAGGGAACCGCATATTTGCCTAATTGTTTAATAAATAGCAATCATTTATTGAGAATCAAATTAAAAATTGTTCCTTTTCAATGTGGCCGTAAGAGAGTAGCTGAGGAAGATTTAGTGTTTTCGAATGGTTTACGTTAGGAAGAACCATCTATCAAACCAGAAAATATATGACGCCAAACTATGTTCCCTCTGTATTCCAGGTTTTTGTAGTCGAGAACTGCTAAAAGCTGTCCAAACGCCAGTCCTTCATTGCCTCTACGAAGGAAATCTGTCTGAAAGGAAGTAACACGATGAAATGACATAGAAAGCTTATATATTTATTGGCAATTACACATCTGTAAATAGATAATTGTTAGAATAAATAGAAGTTCACTCAAAGCAAGCAAAAATCATGGATAGGTTGTTTAAGTGAAATATAAAACGTCTACGAGAACCATCAGCTGTAAAAAAGCAACCAGCAACAAACAGCAAAGCCCCGATGTATTTGGAAATATAAAGTAGCGGATTACAAATGAGGCAGTCCGTGTTTAGCCAGTTGAAGTTGGCATTCTTCATTAAACATGGCACCCAACTTTCCCCAAGCGGCTTTTTGATCAGCAGTTAGTTGAGTTCCACGGCTCTCCAGAAAGGCCATCCATACGTCCCAGAAAACCTTAACAAAATAGTTGAAAACCCGTCTAGGCGTCCCAAATTTTGCAAGGTCTCAAACGGTTGGAGCCGCACTTCAGTGAGAGGGGCAGGGCGCCAACTCATCTTTACCTAAACTCTGATAGACCAACTTCATAAAAATTCACTGAAGAGATCTCCCCTTACCTCATAACATGTCAAAAAGTTACCGAAACTACTATTGAACACTTTCTGAGTTCTACTCTCCCAAGGAGAGGTCGCGCTCATGAAAGATGGTTCTCCTTCTTTTCACTGGTCATCTCAAACAAAGACGAGGGGTGACAGCAGATGACCAGCTTTCACCCACAGGTACTGCGTCCTGGTCAGACTGTTCATACCACTTACAACATGGATTCACTGTTTTTCTCGTTTCAGACTTGCCTCGAAAGAATAAAAATACTGATTTCGATTCTGAGTTGCTTAGCGCACACATTCAAACAACACAGCCATCTCGTCCTGGGAGCGAAACGCACGGCGCATTCTCGAGAAGCCGATCAATGTCCTTTGTCCATTGAGGAACTTTGATTCTAGGCAACGAACCTTATACAAGGATGGATCCAGGCCTCGGCCCACATGTCTATCGAGAGTTTCACGGCAGAATGCGCGGAACAGCATTTCCTAAACCTTTCTGTACTTAGGTCAAAATAAACAAATCAATAAGTAATCAATAATTACGTTGTCAAATGTGTTGGCAAGAAGGTGAACAGACAGAAGCAATGAAGTGCCCTGTTTTTCGAACCTTAAAATATCCAGGTTTTTTGCAATCTGGCTACATGCCAACAATCTCGTCCACTACCTGGCACTTTTCTGAACGTCATCAGCAGTGAAGTTCTCAGCACCCTTGAAGTACTTGCGGAGATCGGGGTGATTCGTGAAAAGGCTTCAAATATTGAGGGTTACTCAGTTTGAGAATACTAGTACACAAAAACATTTTGTCTACTTGTTATGGGAAAAGAAATAGGAACTTACTACTTGTAGAAGTCCTTCCCATTCTGCATCTGGGCAGGGTCCTTTCCAAGTGGGACAGTTTTAAGTGATTCTATGCAATGCTTCTTAACGTCAGCCATTTTGCAATATCGATCACGTTCTAGAACATTCAATTTCATTGAATATCGATTGATCGAGAGTTGATCGAGCGAATAGTCACGGATTTGGACTGAAACGATACATAACAAAGAATAAGCGGAATCAGGGCTGGGGCTCAAAAGAAATCTAACGAACACGATTACGGTACTGAGGATTACCAATCGAGAATTAAAAAGCTCGGGAAAGTTCTGTTACCAAGAAAAAACGGAAGTTCAAAGGATTCAAACGTAAAAAAGGATTTCAAAGGGGTTCCAGCAGTAATTCCGCAAGTAAACGAGGCTGATACCAACCACCAGCGAACGTAACNTAATTGTTAGAATAAATAGAAGTTCACTCAAAGCAAGCGAAAATCATGGATAGGTTGTTTAAGTGAAATATAAAACATCTATGAGAACTATCAGCTTTAAAAAAGCAACCAGCAACAAACAGCAAAGCCCCGATGNAAAAGGATTTCAAAGGGGTTCCAGCAGTAATTCCACAAGTAAACGAGGCTGATACCAACCACCAGCTAACGTAACCAAGGAAATGCCAAGATTTTAGAGGACAGAAGACAAGCACTGCACAGAATAAAGTTTGACGTGCTGAGTAAGGTCGGTAAATATCGTTAAGAAAAAACCAACACGCTCAAAGAAAAAGAAGAGAAAAGCTCAATTAAAAATTAGATATTGTTGGAAGTGTAGTATTTCTATGCAGAGAGCTCAGCTGGTAGAGTCGGAGCCGAATACGGGCACCGTATCCGATATTGACAAGATCTGTAGTCCAAAGGTAAGGACAACGGGTCAGAAAGAGGTCCGGTAGGGCTGAAAAAGTGCCCATAGACGTGTCCGTTCGAGGAAAGTAGGTGGCCCTAAGATAAAACCTAGTGATAGAAATTTTGAATCAAAATCAGCTACGGGCAGAAAAATCAAGTGTCCTCCACCGGGGAAAGCAGCCAGCTCTGCGACGATCTGTAGCACAGACAATGGCTGGTATACGACAAACGACCGACCATTTATACGCCACAGCGGCCACGCGCGTGTCCGCGTCTACCGTAACCCGTTCAGGAATCTCACGTTTTCTTCGATGAACGATCACGTAATTGCTTCTTAAACTTTCAAAGATTTAACCAAGACCCAGCCCATACATATTGCGAGCTCTGGACCTCAGGACCCGTCAATTGGATGAGCTGCCTTCTAGGAAACTCAGGTCTCCAGCGACTAGCCATTTCTCCAGAGGGGATACCCGATCTGAAGAGGGACCGCAATAGAGAATGGTCAACCTAGTTTCTACTGCTCCTCATAAACACCACAGCTTGGTGGCGATCATGAGAAACCTCCTTCTATTAGCGGTTGCCCAGGATTCATGATATGCCACCAGCGTAAAATTTCCCTCATGACTGTGAGCGTTTTTTGCTTCAATTGAAAAACCTAGTCGAAAGGTGTCAAAAATCAAAATTTTTCGATGAGCTGGTACTTTACCCTTAGTTACGGTATTGTAAGATAAAACCAGAAACAACAGCTTCATGGAGTGCCTCCATAAGAAAAAAACGAGTTCTGAGACGGGTTCTCCCTCAGACTTCGAATTTTCTCTTACAAAGTCAAAGTTTGAATTCAGAAATGAAGTAAAATAGTTGGCAAGGTTTTCACAATGTTTTAGTTTAGTTTTTATTCATGTTATTTCAATCCTTGAATAAATCAATCTATTATGAGGGACGTAAGGCGAAATTTCAATCAAGGTCGCTCTCATGCATTGTTTTCGTAATGGTTCTGCAAAACCAAGGCTCGATATCGCCTGAAAAACCATATCGTTGACCGTAAAGAAGGTCATCGGTATCGCTGAACCTCTAGGGAGGGGTAGATCAACGGAATCTTACTAAAAAGAGAAAAATACTACATGAAGAAAACATTGGGAGAGGATCGGGTAGTAGTTAACGATAGCTCATGAAATGGTCCGAAAACTCAGAAAAAGATGACGTCTACCTTAGCTTTTTAGGAACTAGTATGCAAAGTTATTGAGCTCCCGATAAAATCTGAATTTGTTGAGCCAACAAATATCATTAAACTTCTTCTAAGTACTGAGGGGAGCGAGATACAAGGGTATGTGGTTCAAGAAGGCATCGGCACCCATGGCAAGCTCTATAGAGAGCCATTTCTCATTCCATCGTTTTTTTTTTTGGTTTTCGGTGGTGCCAAAACAGAAGAGCTTCTTCCAAAATCTTGGGCAACTCAAAGCATATGTGGAGACTAAGAGGAATTTGCACCAACTGCTCGAAATAGGGACTGCGTAACTTGATCGTGTCAAGCTGACGACCATCCGGCAACGAAGGTTTCCTTTCGAAATCGTGGTTGAACTATCCCTTTAATAACTATCATACTTCCTACGAAATGTCGGAGGAATTACTTCAGAAACTAGTTCTACGGCTGGAACGAGTAACCAAAATATCCTAGAACCCTGCTGAGCTTCCTCTAACGAGCTTCGAACGGCTTACTTATCTCGACGAAGTCACCATGAGGCTCGCCAAGTATTTCGGGGAGCGTTTAGCTTTTTCTATTCTATTTTTTTTTCAAAACTGACCTTCAACGTGAACTCCGCGGTCAAGTGTAATGGCTGCAAAGTCAGGCACCTCAGCAGGCAGGATCAATGAACGAGAACAGGATCAAGAATGGGGTGCGGGTATAAGTTAGAGGAGGGGAAGGGTATCGCGGAATTCCTGTAAAGTGGTCGCAGATGAAGTTAGATTAAAATAGGATTTCCCCACGAACGAGAACAGGATCAAGAATGGGGTGCGGGTATGGGTTAGAGGAGGGGATGGGTATCGCGGAATTCCTGTAAAGTGGTCGCAGGTGAAGTTAGAATAAAATAGGATTTCCCCACGAATTGGAGCAGAGCTGGACAGTAACTACAGGGACCTCAACCAGATCGTGGAACCAAAACATGGAACCCACATGAGGGGTTATCACCAAACCTACTGACCCACCAGAATCTCTCTTTTCAGATCATTACGCTCAAGCCATCTCAAATGATCTGTGAGTTTCCAAGGTCTCGAGCACCACTGGCAGCCTTACTACAATATTCTTTTGGCTGAACACTAATGACCAAGGTATCCCACACTGAATGAACATAAGACCGCCATCAAAACCTTCCAACCCAAGATTTTAAAGCACTTTTGATTCCGCGGTCACGCCTTACCAATCCTGGTAGGCAATATACTCAATGAAGTGGTATGTAACGACGGGAGTGGGATTTCCCACGTCAGCATGTCTATCCAAGCTTTGGAATTTTATTTCCCATGTATCAAGTAGGTTAGGCTGGCAGCCAAGGTGGAAATGGAGGGCAGGGCATGAAAAGTTTCGCCAGTTCCGACTGGATGGGATCACCTTAGCCGAAAATAACCCTCGTGTACATTCCATTGCCAGTATGTTCAGTTCTAGTAGGATCTCATCGAAGAAGATAGCTTCTTATAGCTTGACTACGGTAGCAAAGTTCATTTTTCACGTTTCTGGGCTCTGAGTCATACTTACATTAAGAATGGATTGCGTTATAAAATGCTTTAATGATCATGCTCGGGAAATGTATTGAACTTCTCCCTAAAAGCAATATACAATGAGAAACATTTACAAATGTAACGTCCATCGTGCTCACGATTAAAGTGTGAATTGTACTCGTCATCAGCAAAAGCACAAAACGGAACGTATGGCGACCATTGTCTACACCGGAGCTAATGGTCTCTTCGAGCTAAACTGACTAATATTCTTAATATAATAGTCAAGTAGAAAGCGATTGTTACATAGAGCGATATAGTAGTCATTACATTACAGTGAGATAACTGAAGTATACCTTTGGATCGTGGCTAACCCTTTTCCCAGGAATGAAGTCAAAGATAGAGCTAATTTCTGATAATAGAGCCACTGAACTTTAGAGTCAGCCCTTTGCGATCATGATTGGCAAGAAATTCGATTGCCTGCCTATTCCCAGGGCTTTATTTTCCTAAGCTCTTCCTCTTTCTCTCACCAACAATTGCGATCCAGCCAAACCACATTTTCAAAAGGCCCATTTTGTGGAACTCAATTTATTGTCAGAGAAATTTGCTGAAGAATGCTCGAAAAAATGCTGATGGGGGCCCTTAAAGGCTTGGTAGCGGGAATTCCCAGAAATTCTTAGGAACTAAGCAAAACCTTGTAGATGTCCTCGGCTACACAAGTTTGTCTTCTTTGTATTAGTTATCTTGGAGCTGGTTCTTGAACAAGTGGACGAGTTTTTCGCGCTGATGAGCTCCTATTATTAGACCCTTTTCATAAGCCTATTCAGATAGAGTGATGGCAATTATAACCCTCAACAACTTCCAGATAGCAGTTCCTTCCGTGTAGCTTCCCACAGGTGCCGTCTTGCTGATGTCTCTCTCGGAGAATCACCGATAGAAAATTTCATCCAGCATTGTAATTCTTGGTAAACCCCGGTTTTCCTGCTCAGCCTCGAACTTCAAAATGAATTCTACATTCCTTTCCATAAACTCTCTATAATTCTCCCTTGGCTTTTCGATAATTAGTCCCTTCGGTTGGCAAATTTTCTCCGGGATGGGTCGCCCGAGTAACTTTTTTGTCGAGTAATGTGCTTCGAGAGAACTTCTGATTTTCCTCGAAC